CAGCAAACACGTGTACAATGTGCCCAACTTTGACATGATCCAGGAGGTCCAGAAAGAGATCATAACACAAGTGTGCTCCGGTGTCGACGAGCAGCTGAACATTCTGGTCAGCGGAGAGGAGAGTGAGTGAAGTATTTAATACATGCCCATGCAGGATTCATCTAAAATGCTGTTACAGTATACTGATGTGCAGCATCTTGTTTACTTTGACAGTGGTGGAGCCAGCCTCCAACCTGGAGGTCACAGAAGTTTCATCCAAGTCGATGAGGGTGACATGGGCTCCGTCTCTGGGTGATATCACGGGCTACAAGCTAACCCTCAATCCCATGCTGCCCGGCATGAAACGCCAAGAGCTGTACATTGGGGCTGGACAGACATCCGTCAACGTCCGTGACCTTTCCCCCGAGACAGAGTATGAAATCAGCCTGTACGCACTCAAAGGTCTGACTCCCAGTGAACCCATCGTTGAACTGGAGAAGACGCAGCCTGTCAAGGTGTCAACAGGTGAGGTGGTTTACGTGTGGTCAGCTTTTAAGTTTGATGTACTCGTGGATGAATCGCATGTGACTCGGTTTCCTGTCTTTTTCAAGAGTGCTCTCTGGGAGTGGATGTGCAGGCCGATGTAGTCCTGCTGGTTGATGGCTCGTACAGTATCGGATTACAAAACTTTGCAAAAGTCCGTGCCTTCCTGGAGGTTCTGGTCAACTCCTTTGACATCGGACCAAACAAAATCCAGATTAGCTTGGTCCAGTACAGTCGCGACACATACACCGAGTTTGCCCTCAACACTCACCACGACATTAACGCCGTCGTCAAAGCTGTGCGCACCTTCCCCTACCGCGGCGGTTCCACTAACACCGGCAGGGCCATGACTTACGTCAGGGAGAAGATCTTCGTCCCAGGTCGTGGAGCGAGACAGAACGTCCCCCGCGTCATGGTCCTGATCACAGACGGAAAGTCGTCAGACTCTTTTAGGGATGCGGCCACCAAACTGAGGAATATTGATGTGGAAATATTTGCTGTCGGCGTGAAGGATGCGGTGAGATCAGAGCTGGAGGCCATCGCTAATCCACCGGCTGACACCCATGTGTACGAGGTGGAGGACTTTGACGCTTTTCAGAGGATCTCTAAGGAGCTGACTCAGTCCATCTGTCTGAGGATTGAACAGGAGCTGCTCAACATCAAAAAGAGAAGTAAGTAGAAGAAGATCAACTCCTTTACTATGATCTGGAGCTCAGATTTACTTTTCTTTCTGATGGTTTCCATGTGTTAGCACCTTCACACTGCTCCACAGGATATTAGACCCTGAAATGTGACCGCATTTTTAGCCGCTGACGTAGTGGCAAATAGCCAGAGCAGTCATGGAAAAGCTAAACAGAGAAACATATTTTGTAAATTGCTGTCAGACATGGCAAAGTTTAATCATTTCATCAGAGTTGCCAATAAACATACCACAAAAACCACTGACGTGCCTCTTGAATGAGCTCGAGTGATACCGAGAGCTGCAGCCCAAAACACCCGACAATCAGCCAGTGTGCTGTCCAGTGCTTCAAGATCTCAACTTTTGAAATCCATATTTGTTAAACTACAGTAGCAGGTGAGGCTCTAACTACCTGACTACCTCTTTGATTTTCAGGTTTGCTTCCACCAAGCGATTTGCGCTTTTCCGAAATTACCTCCCGAAGCTTCCGTGCCACCTGGGTACCTCCTCTTGCCAATGTCTTGTCCTACCTGCTACGTTTCCGCAAGGCGGAAGATGTCACCGGAGACTACATCACCCTGGCGTTGCCCGGCGATACCAACACAGCTGTCCTTCCCCATCTTTATCCCGTCACCACCTATGAAGTCAATGTCTTTGCTCAGTATGAGAAAGGAGACAGTTTCCCTTTGACGGGTGAAGAGACAACTCTCGAAGGTAAGAGGTTTACCTGAATTTAACAGAATGTAATCAAAATGAAAAGACAGAGCATCTAAGATTTGCGTTTTTCTTCTCAGAACAAGGAGCTGTAAGAAATCTACGAGTGACAGAAGAAACAACCAACAGTTTCAAGGTGTCGTGGCAAGCCGCGCCGGGTTCAGTGATCAGATACCACCTGTCCTACGTCCCGCTGAGCGGCACAGGAGAGATACTGCAGGCTCAGACCCTTGGCCGAGAGACCAGCATAGTCCTCCAGGAGCTCTTCCCCATCACTACCTATCGTGTGTCTGTGTCTGCTGAGTACGCATCCGGCCTTGGAAGCGAGATGAAGGTGGATGGAACCACCAAGGAGGGTGAGCGAGGACAACTGCTGACACTATTGTCAAACTGAAGTTTTGAGAAATGTGAATTTTGAGAAATTCTCCATTTTGATCTGTTTTCAGTCCACGGCTCTCCCCGTGACCTGCGTGTCTCCGATGAAACAATATCTACGATGAAACTGGCGTGGAGGGCTGCTCCTGGCAATGTTCTTCAATACCGCATTGCCTTCAAACCTGCTGAGGGAGGTGAGAGGAAGGAGATCTCTGTCAAAGGAGACACCACCCAGGCTGTACTGAAGAACCTCCAGCCAGCCACTGAGTATGAGCTGTTTGTCAGCGCTCGCTATTCTTCTGGTTTGGGTGATCCTCTCCTAGGCACAGGAACCACCTTAGAAGGTAAGAGAAGCTGCCATATTGGTACTTTAAAGCCTTTGAAGCAGTCGGGTCATGTTTATTTCCAGTGTTTGCAGCATGCTTTGTAGATGTGCTTAGTATTCCCAGCTTAACAGGCCCCCTATTGTGAAACTGCACGCATTTGGGAACTTGTTTCCTGTCCTCTAAAGGTCCCTGCACCAATAAAGTGAAAGTTGTGTAGTACTTTGGAAGGTTGGTGTGAAAAATATGGAATGTGTAAGCGTTGTTTTACCACAGACTCCCCGACACGTCCTCACTCCTAAAGCGTAATATTTTACGCTACGTGACAAATCATCGATATATTACGCTTCCGAGCACCCAACACGTCTCTATGTTACGAGATCCGAAAAATGAGGAAACATGAGAACCGTTTGGAATCAATCTACACATGTATGTTCGTTTTACTTAAATCGGTTTGAAACATCTTTAACCCTTTAAAGCTGGTTAGAGCGGACACGTTTTGCATAACAATTTTTAAATCCCGGTAGCTCTGCAACCACGTGAGCTAGCGCAATAATTTTTTTTGCATATGAAACCGGAGGAGTTGTACTTACATCTTATGCCATC